TGCACTTGTTGCTTGCCTTATGTGATAAGTAAAAAGTTGTCACACAATTATAAAGCTATCCATTTAGAACATTCTTTATTTTAAATTAAAAAGCACTAAACTTAAGTTCTTTAATATTAAAAAGTTTAGCTACAAGTTATTTTAGTTAAACGTTATTTAGTAACATTTTAACCAAATTAAACTGCATGAAAAAAATATGAGAAAACGAATTCAGTTTTAGGAACAAGTAAAGGTTTATTCCATGCTGAGAAGACACACAACGTTTCGGCTGTGGAGCCTTGTGTGAATTAAAAGTGTACGACTAAAATGTGACTGTCTTCTGGGCATTTTAGATGACAAAGACTGTGACTAAAACAAAAACTGATGAATAAATTAACACTGCATCTTTGACAGTAATTAGAGCTGCAAGTATTTTTGGGTCAGTTTCTACCACCTTCGCTTACCAGTTTGGTACATGTTTGCCTAATGTTCTTGGAAGATTTGCTCACGTTTTCTCAAGTTGTTTTGGGGATTTTTCCAAAGTTCTAGCTCTGAATTGGGTTTCCTTCAAAGAGTTTACCAGCACTTTTCTCAATCTATGTTTCTATCAGTTTTTGTACATTTCCCAGTCCTTGCTGATGAGAAACAGAACTATAATATAATACAGGTGGAGAATTTGTATCTGACTATCTCAGCAATTTTAAAAGAGGTCATTCTGTCACCTCAGACAGGCTCCCAGAAGTTACCAGTTCAACAGATCAAAAACTGACAGGTAGATTGCAAAATTGCTGTTTTTATTCTAAGGTACTTGGTACAACAAGGCATGACTCAAAAACAAACACATTAAAAACTTAGTCCCAAGTAATGAGAAGAAAAAAACATCCCGAGGAGCATTCCTTAATGACCGCACAGTTCCTTTTCTCTCTACCAGGTTGCTACAGACCACAAAAAAGATCTTCCACAACCGAACTTTCCTTAAACAGCTTCAGTCTTCCAGGCAACACATACGTTTGCTGTACCAAAGATAGAAAAACACACTGTGCACAGTATTCTGGAACTTGTTGGTAATCCCTTCATTTCCAAACCAGATGTTCCATTAGACCTTCTTTACCCTGGTCGGCTTCAACAACAAACAGGGTAAGATCAAAAGTTGTAAGAAACCCTGTTCTACTGGGTGAACTCTTAATTTTGGGCAACTAGATGTATAACTGGAGCCAACCTTTAATGGTTCTTATAACCCAAACTCTACACTGGCATGAAAATACCCACTCATTTCAATACCGGTTTTACAGCTTTTTTCAGCTGATTGAAAATTTGCCCAGAGAAGACGCATTATTTAAGACCAGCAATTTCCAAGAGCTTTTTTCAATGGTCTTGATTGTGTTACACTCATTCTTTTTGGTTTGAGGAGCATTTTCAAGTCTGATGGTTGGGGGGCTTCAGGGACAGATTGCAGGATTGCGCTGTTGAAACCGCAGCTCGGGTTAGGCTTAACATTCCCCCACCACTACAACATGAACTCTCCAACTCCTCTAGCCGGAACTGACCAGAACAAGATTTGAATGCGATGTGTGAGAGTCTGGATGTTCAGGGGGGAAAAGCTGACATAAATAACCCAGAGGCTTCTTGCAGGCCTTGTCAGTATGCAGATTGTCGATTGTCATGGTGTCACATTTTTCTTCATCTCTCATTGGTTGCCCATCTGTCCTTATGTTTTACATCCTTACTGGCTAAGCACCTCCACACACCAAACGTATCACCTCTGACTGTGAAGTAATTGACAGTTAACTAGACAAACAGTGTGGCATTTAATTAAACTCGGTGAAGACTACTGTCTACTGTATTGTTAGTTGTCTGCTGTATTGGTCAGGAAGATGAAAAAGAAAAGGGGAGTGGACCATAAAAAAACACTGGTCTTTACATACAGATCTCAAGTAAACACAGTCACAGCACTATCCAACATACAAGACATTTTCATGCGTGTCTTGAAACAGATTAATAAACGAGGAGGCTGTACAACATATTTTAAATGTGAATATGAGTTTCAATGACTTCTGAAACCAAGGATAAAGTAAGGCATAGAGAATTGGATTGACACAGGAGTTAAGATAAACTATTACAGTAGGAGTGAAGAGAGCTGCTGTCATAGATACATTAAGATTTCCTTCAATGAGTGTCCAGATGTAAAATGGAATCCAACAAAGAAGAAAGGCAAGCACTACAATTCCTAACCTTTTGGCAGCTTTTCTTTCCGATATTTTGGAAATTTTACCTGTGTTTTCTCGCACATGCTTTCTTTCTGCTGAAGAACTGATTACTTTTGCATGTCTTTTGGCTACTAAAAAAATTTTCACATATAGAGCTATCATTGTAAAACAAGGCAAAATGAAAGTAATTATTAGATTAATTATTCCCCATATTTCATTAACTAAAAACAAACATTCTCCAAGACAGGAATTTAGCTTATCTGCACCATCAAAATTTCCATTTAGGTAGAGGAAAGCCAACATGTAAGATGGTGATAGCAGCCAGCTAAATAGTATTAATAAATGCATGACATTAACTGTTATCTTAGTAGAATAAAGTAATGGGTCACAAACAGCAAAATAGCGGTCAATGGCTATTAAAACCAGATTACTGAGAGAAACTGATATAAGAACAGAGTCAAAAAACTTATAAACAGAACACAGCATATCTCCAAAGTACCAACAAGTTTCTATTAAAGCTGTCATACTTAAAGGCAACACAATCAGTCCTACTAGAAAGTCTGCCACAGCCAGAGAGAGCAGAATGAGGTTAGTTGGTGTGTGGAGCTGCTTGAAATGAGAGACGGAGATAATCACAACAAGGTTTCCACACACCGTTAGGGTAACCATAATTACCAGCACCGTGTATAAAGCAGCATAAGCTGCTTTAGATCGCATTTCTTTTAGACAAGATGCATTGCTCGAAGGAAAACAATACTGCACAGCCTGAGGTTCTTCTGAATGAGCGATCTCCATTGGACTGGAAAAAAATGTTGAAAGTTAAATCCACAACAAATTGTAGAAAGAAAACGTTTTGCCTTTTTGTTAATTTTATCCATAAACGTATTCAATACACAGAGCAAAGAGCCATAGGAAGGATTATAAAACAATCAAGGTATTTAGGAATATCTCAAAGTGTTCAAGGAAATTGATTTTTACTCCTAATCTTGTGTACATTAATAGGTCTCTGCCTCCTCCTACTCCTGCTGTAAGGAGGAGCTGATGAATCTTCATTGGTGAGAAATCTGTGAATGACACCCAATGTGCTACATGTCTGAACAGAGCCTAGAGAACAGATAAATCTGATTGAGTAAGCTTTTAAAATACGAATTAAACAATTCTGAAGGAAAAAAAAATATTAAACAAATTAAATCTTAAAGGATTAGAAAAAGGTCGCTAGATCTTCTTACACTAAAAAAGTAAGATCAGAAATAAAAAAAATAATTAAAAAAATTTAAAAAGAACAGATAATAAATATTAGTATCATAGGACAAACCCTTAAATGTATTATTGCTTTTCTTTCAAGTCCTTATAGTAACAACAAAAAGACAAATGGTAGGTCTGTGAAGACTTAAAAAAAAAAACTTTGCATTGGAAGAAAACTTTTAGATCTAGACTCTAATTCTTCCTGTATAAAGAACAGAAGCACAGTATATACAGTATAGTTGATAAAGTAATGCCTCATAGGTGACCCTTGTAACCAAAATTCCTCTCCTAAATGTATTGTCATACAAATGTAATGCACTTCTTTCTTGTGTAATTTTTGTACCAAGATTTTGTAACAAAATCTGAATTTTACATACCTTTCTATTAAAACCAAACAAAAATGAATTGGAACCTCTCTGCTATAGTCCTAAAAATACCAAACACTACTAACAATGAACATCATTATGTTTTTTATTGTTTCCTTGATATTCTAGCTGTTTTGAAAAGTAATCCCAAAATTGCTTTTTGATCACATCAAATTTAGAAAACTCAAATGAGTTCATTTTAAAAGATGTCTTTATCCCTAGAGAAAATAAGACATTGTCTTCCATCTATCCATTCATTTTCAAACTGATTAATCCAATTCAGGGTTGCAGGGGAGCCCTATCCCATAGTCTATGGGACACCAGTCCATAACAGGACACAGAGAGACACAAACAGACTAACACCAGGGTCAATTTCTGAGAAGCCAAAACCTACAGATGCAGCCTTTCAAAACAAGTGGGCGATACCGCATTATAATGCAGTGCGCTTGTCCCGGTGTAACGCAAGTTACCATATTAATACCAGATATTCTTGCATAGTACCGCATGGTACCGCAAGTAAAATAATAGTATTGGGAATTTCCGCAAGGTGGAGCTAATAAAGCTCAACCTATTATGTTTGAGCTGTTGCCATCAAAGTCTTTACCGAAAATATTACTAATAGTATTAATAATGAATGACCTTGGACAAGCTGTAAACTCAGAGTATTGCCCTGGTCCACATTCTTTTTTTTCATTGACCGTCTTTGTAAAAGTAACACCACAGCATTTCG